TCTCAGTGTTGCCTATTTTGAAAGCAGGCTTTGTGATATGCGGAAGAAAGGAATAATCTTCATAATGTCATCCACTTTCTCAGTGTTACAGATTTTGAATCGCTGAGTGGCTCCCTACTTTAAATGCAGTAAGACAACAACACCTACAGTAACAGTCACATTTTACACACGTCTATCCCTAGAAAAGTCTTTTTTTTTTATTTATTTATTTATTTTTTACTTTTACTATTTCCGCATTTTAGAACAGTAGTGATGATATCAGCACTAGGAACTAAAACGTACAGAATTACATAGTGACCAAAAAAATGGTAAACAACTATGCTCTGCATGCAAAATAATTACAATTAAAATTTTTTGTTTTGGAAATAAATTTTTATACAGGTATCAATTTTGTTATTTGTATTTTGTCTCAAAAACACATTTCACATATTTAAAAATGCATTCAAGCAATGTGTCTCAGAAACACATGTGAACAGTTCACTGTGAAATGAGTCTGAATTGTACACAGTCACAGAAACCAGATCTCTGACGCTCTCTCACAGAAAGCTCTTACAAATGGTTACGAACGCACTGATGCCTGAGACATTGTTTGGTGGTTGTTTGAAGGGTGTTGTGAGGCAAAAATAGCCAAAAAAAAAGGAGTTATTTTTTATTTTTATCACTATTTTACCTTCATCAACATTATATATAAAAATTCAGAAGACCGTATAGGTTCCCTGGGGGTTTGGGAAGGTGTATAAAATGTATGTTGTGGATTTTGTGACCCCTGGTTCCCATCACCATCACTGTAAAGAAATCAGAAATAAAGTAAAATTTCTCTACAATCGATTTCACATCAAACCACTCTGAATGAGGCTGTTCACATCCACACAACTGAATAATGAGTTATGCATTAAATTGAAAACATTTTATCAAGTGGGTTCAAACTTTTCATGGATACTTTCTTTTTAAAGTGAACAGATACACAGACGCATCTGGTAAACCCTTAGATATTCAGAGTTATTGCTAATTTTTCTATACCATTAATAAGCACTAACAATCAGTTACTTTCACATTCTGTATTAACAGGTTTAAATCTGCACTTCTGGCTCTGTTTGTTCTGATGTCAACAACTAACAAAACATGGTTAAAATGTAGTGTTATGATGGTGGAATTTCTAAACTTTTGTACAAATTGTTGTTTGTCCTGTGAACAATGCATTACAATGAGTGTACTAGAACATAGGCAGCATATTATTTTCATGCACCAAACATCTGGAGCACATTACCAACAAATATTTATCAGACTCCTTCTATCACTACATAAAAAAAGAAAAAACAGTTTAGCTTAAAAATGATGGTTCTTCAAGGGTTTTTTAGTAAGGGAAATGGTTCTATATAGAACCATGAACACTCAAACATCCCTTTGCATGATTAAAGGGCTCTTTGTATCGCTAAATGGTTCTTCTGACTGATGGAGAATGTGCGGTAAATGGTTCTATATAGCACCAAAAAGGGTTCTTCTTTTGTTATGATGTCAATCCGGTATCAATACAAGAATCCTTTTTGGTGCTATACAGAATCTTTTTCAAAAAGGTTCTATATAGAACCATATAAAAACACATTCTCCATCAACCTGAAGAACCCTTTCACAATGCAAAGAACCCTTTAATCATACAAAGGGTTCTTTGAGTGTTCATGGTTCTATGTAGAACCATTTTCTTTACTAAAGAACCCTTGAAGAACCATCTTTTTTAAGTGTGTAGCTTTTATTATTTGCTTAACTTTGATTGGAATGTTCCTTTCAAGTTGTTTTTATATCATTACTGTCCAAAAAACATTTCCATTTTTATTTATTCATTTACGTTTTTTGCATCATTTAAGCACAGCAGCTATCCTTTACATCATTCAAACTTCACAGTGAATGGACCTATAGGAATCTTCCAAAACCCATTAGAAGAAAATCTCACATTGACTTACATTCAAAGTAAAGAATGTTTTTGCCTTCTCCTTTAAAACTGCCATTTTTTTTGTTGTTTTGACAGTTTTATTGCTATTTATTTTATTTACTCTGTTTTCTGTTTTTAATTGTTATTGTTCTCTTTGTTGTCAGTGCTTTTATTTGTTGCATCTTATTGTTTGACTGTTTCTTTCTTTTCTTTCTCTGTTGTTTACAGTCACACTGTAAAGCACTTTGAGTTGCACCTCAAATGTAAGAAAAACACAGTGCTGTATAAACACAGTTTTTTATTATTATTATTATTATTATTATTATTATTATTAAAGTTCAGGATAGCTTAGACTTCAGAAACACCTGTTGGCCCATCAACATGATCTTTTTGATTTCGTCTACACTGTGAGCCAAATACAGTCATATTGTATTTGTATTATATTGTATACGGTCATAAAAACAGGCATATGCAATCCATGTATATCATAACATAACAATGTTTAATGCAGAAACCTTGAAACAATCGATACTGTGAAACGAGTATTGTTTCAAATTCTCACTGATATTTATCTATATGTCCAAACTATTGACAGTCTCAAAATGTAATAAAATGTCTTTTTTTCTTTCTGCAAAACACAATTGTGTCCAGTAATAATAACTTTTAATCAAATTCAAACCATAATAAAAAGTATCCTCTTCTACAAACACAAGCAGGGTAATGACTGAAAGTTTAGAGTGAATTTCAACAGAATTTCTCTGCTTGTTTCTAAGAGCTACAACTAAGAAATAATTAAACAAATTGTAAGAGGATTCATTTCGTGTACACTCCATTAGGAGGGATGAACTATGTCTTAAGAAAAATTGTGGATTTTTGCAAACTTTGAACTATTCATAACCTCCACCTCTGGGACGATTTTTCTTTTCTTTTGTTCTTTTTTTCTCTCTGATCTGAGATCCTGGAGGAATCAGGATACATCAGAAAGGCTGAAGGAGTCATCCATGATTACCAGCAACACACACACACACACACACACACCCTTTTGATGTGCAGAGATAAAATAAATCCAATTATCGTTTGCCCTGACATACATCACGGCTCAAGAACCGGAAGAATTCAAGATGAATTCCGAGGGACCAGCTGGTCCTGTTGGCAGCCACGAGAAAACAAACACAGCAATAAAAAGCAAAACAAAATGCAAGAGAACACAACTGTCTGATACCATACTGTGTCTAGATGTACTATTACAGCACAGCAGAGCACGCAGATGTGTTGCAGTGTAGTCACCACAAATACAGTCAAGTCAGTCAAATGACAAACAAGGTCCATTTTTACCCATGACTTCATTCACTTCTGCACAGTAAAACAATATTAAAAACTCTTTATTTTGAGTGTCAACTACTTTACAGATGCTCTCCTTGTCTTTTACTGACTGTCTTCAACTACAAACCCAAAAGTTGGGACAGTTTGTGAAAAGCCAATAAAACCAGGAAAGCAGTGATTAGCTGTTTGAGCTGTATTTTCAGGCTACTCTACCCACCTGTGCCTTCATTCAGTCTGTTATCAATTTGAGCGTTTATAGAAAATCTGTAGGGGACCAACAAAATGAATATATTAAAAAAAAACGGAAATACTAGAAAGGAACATTCACAATGCAGTCAAAACAAATCAAACACATAAAGGCACTGGTCTCGTTTTGCTTCACTGCTCTGGATAAATGAGTGAGAAAAGAAAGATGTAATTTCCAGACACAAACAACAAACTAAACATAAGCCTCTGAAAATAATTTCACACTTTTTTTTAAAGCCAAACAAACAGGCTTGTTGCACTAATATACAGGGAAATTCACTTGAAAGAGGCCCCAAAAATCTGCTGTAACTCCCTGTTATGATGAAGCAATCTGAACCAAAAATATGCTACATATTGTGACGTATGTGTAATAGATTGCATTACATGCGATGCTGGAACTGATCTTCGTTTTCTGCCAGACACATGAAGGGGTACGTGGATATGCACCCAGAAGTTGCAAACGGAGGTTAAACGTCGTGACAGCTGTCCAGCAGCTACCTCATCGCGCCGAAACAGGGGCATCCTGGCTTGTTCGAAGCTCCATATACTGAGGAGCACATCGCATGTTGTTTTTGTTCAGATTGCTTCGTCCTATAGAGAGTTATTACAGAATATTTGGGGCCTCTTTCAAGTGAATCTCCCTTTATCTCTAATGAAGTCTAAGTTAATGCTAGTTGTTACATTTATTAAATGACTGAAGCTCGAACTATAATCTGAACCCTTTAATGTTAAGGCTAAAAAGAGGCTACTTCTGCCTTTTAATCTACTCTTCTCCTTTAATGAGGTAGTTTTATTTTTAAAATATGCGCCATCGAAGTGATGAAAAAACCTTTAGACAATGTCAGCCAAGCATGATGGAGGATCAGTGCAAGTTTGGGGACGTATACCAACATCTGGAGTCTGTGATTTGTTTTTTGATTGAAGGCATATCGAATGCCAGTAAGTACAAGCAAAGTTTGATACATCATGAAATACCATCTAGAAAATGACTGGGAAGAAATTCACAACAAAACAATGACTTCAAACACATTGCTGAGAAGATCTTATACTAATCAAACAAGAAAGCTGCTGGTGTTCTCAGAACAATGGACTGACCACCCCAGAGTCCAAACCTCAACATCACTGATTTTGGGATTACTTGGATTGTGAAAAGCAGAAAAATGCAACCAACTTCTTAGACTGAACTTTGGAGAAGAATGTGTGTGCATGCTCAAAAACTATAGTCACGTTCATATCGTGATAATGAAATACGCTAAGGGCAGATTTTAATGAGTTAAAGCCTCCGAACACTTTAGTTAAGCAGCGGTTAATGTCAGTTTTAATGTTATCTAAGCTGGGCTGCTGTGGAGAAACAATCTGCTACGTACACCTTAAGACATTTCCTTGTAAAATTGAGGCTGACTAAAAGAGTAAAAAGTGATATTTTGGAGCTTCGTGGTGGAAAACAGTTTATGTACAGTGGTCTAGGATGAAGAGAGAGACAGTTTTTTATTTGTTTTCTCACCCTGAAGAGCAGTTTGGCCACAGGTCTCTTGGCCAGCTGGGCAGGGCTGCACAGGTTTTCATACAGGGCCGTGTCCACCATGCCAGGATCCACAGCGTTGGCTGTTACTGGATCTCCTCGAGCCCACAGCCGGTCCTGCAGGTGGTAGGTGAAGAGCACCAGCGCCAGCTTACTCTGAGAGTACGCCCCATGGGCACAGTAACAAGACCTGAGAGAGAAAGTGAGAGAGTGAGAGCGAGAGAGAGAGAGAGAGAGAGAGAGAGAATCTGGATGAGACTTGTTTGAGATGTATTCTAGCCCAGCATGGTGAAGGATCAGTGCAAGTTTCAGGATGTGGTCCTAAGAAAAAGTCTACATCAAATTCATGGCGTGCTCTTAAACCTTGAAATTGTTCTCCTCTTTTCATGCTCGAGTGTGTGTAGTGTATCATATTCATACATCATACATTTGAAAAATGTTTGGGAAGAAATTCATTCTAGATAATGACGTACTTATCAAGCAAATTGAGAAAAAAGAAGCTGCTGGTGTTCTCAGAACAATGGACTGTCCACCCCAGAGTCCAACACTCACCATCACTGAAAGTATTTTGGATTACTTAGATTGTGAGAAGCAAAACTGCAACCAACCGCTAAGACTTTGAAGGTGTGGAAAAATATCCCTCCAAAGTTTTTTGAATAACTCAAAGCAAATCTACGGAAAAAGAAAGATGTGATCAAAATCATCAGTAATCTTAATTATAGCATGATATAAATTCTTATCCATACTGGCCACTACTAATGATAACATATGTAAATCACAAAATTATTATATTATTTATTTTTGTTTACATAGTTAATTTATGTGAAGTTAAGCTAATCTACCAATCTACCCGCAAAAAAACAAAAACAAAAAAAAACACAGTATGAACCGAACTGTGGCTCAAAAATCGAGGTTTGAACAGAACTGTGGATTTGAGAATAACAACAATAATGAAAAGTTAATGAACTCATTTAAATATCCCATATTATCCCAACATATTTTATGTTGCTACAGGTTGTGCAAGGTTAGCTTGCATACTATAATAGGCTAATATGAACTAACTTTACCACTAGTAATTATATGGTGCTTTTATGCTTGTTCACAGATATTAATGCAGCTTTGCCACCTACTTTTACATTAAAGCTGATATTGTATGTATTGACATATTATTATAAAGTCGTTACACTAATATTACAGTAGTCATACAATAACGTTTTATACAGTATCATTTGTATTTACTGTGCATATTTTCCCAGAATTCAACAAGGGATGCTGTATAAAACTCAAGAACACATTTAAAGCATCATACTGGCTTGAACACAGCACATAACTGTAGAAATAACAGAATACATTTACAGTACATTTGCTAATTACTGGCTACTACTTCCATCTGTCCATTGTTAGTCACATGAGCATGTTTGGTCAAGCTTGTCCTTATCAACACCTTTGAAGGACAAAAAGGGGAGGTTTCAGGCCAGCAGCTATAAAAAGCTGGCTTGTATTGTAAAAATGTCACTGGCTTTCAAAGAGTTTTATAAGCCGGTCATCATAAATCTGCCTCTTTGGTGGGCCTTACCTGTCTGCTTCCCTGTCTTACTGACATTGAATGCAAAGATGTGGGGTGATAAGAGAGAAATATTTCTTCTCTTGTCATCTCCACTGAGCCATTACAAAGTGCCTTTTAATATGTCCAGGGCGTCAAAGGATGCACAAATAGAAGAATTAAAAACGAAGCCTTCGTCTGAGATAACCATCGTAAATTACTTTAAATATTCAGCTCAGAATGACTATGACTGTGCTGAATAGGAAGTCTGCTGTATGTTCAATGTATTGTTCAATTCTACATACATTTATGCCCCTTTTAACTGTGTCCTCAGTTTTCAAGCTGTTAACACAAATTAAGAAAATTAGAATAAACTAAGGCATAAATATTGGGCCAGATTCACTACAAAATTAGCAAGTTGTTGGAGGTAATGCTATTCTAGTTCATGTTGCATCACATAATTGCAGCAGATTTGTCATCAAAACATCCATGCTGCAACTCATTCTATCACATCCCAAAGAAGTGATTCAGATCTGGTGTCTGGACAGTTTGAAGTATTTGAACTGTCAAGTTTTGAGCCTGTGCCCACTGTTGCCTCGTATTCTTGGTCTTGGCTGAAACGAGTGGAACCTTACATGTCTTCTGTTGTTGTAGCCCATCCACCTCAAACGTTTAATGTGTTCAGAGAATCTTCTCTGATCGCCACTGCTGTAAAGAGTGGTTGTTCAAGCTACTGTCCCCTTCCTGCCAGCTAGAACAAGTCTAGCCATTCTTCTCAGACCTCTCATAAACAAAACAAGGCATTCCCACCCACAGAACTGCAGCTCACTTGGATGTTTTGTATTTTTTGCACCATTCTATGCATCAAAATCCCAGGAGATCAGCAGTTTCTTAAACACTCAAACCACCTTGATATACCATGGTAAAATTCACTTAGATAAACTAAAGCACTTGACCCTTATGTGCATGATTTTATGCATGGCACTGCTGTAATATGATCAGCTAATAGGATAATAAAATGACTGAAGGTTTACAGGTGTTCCTAACAAAGTGGCCAGTCAGTGTATATCATAAAAAAGAGACAAATATCTGCTTCTTTGCAGTTTCTTCCACCCCTCATCCAACACACCTGACATTAATATTCAGCTCCTAAAGGCCTAGATTAGTTCAGCCATGTTAGATGAAGGTTGGAACTAATCTGTGCAAGAGGGCAGCACTTTAGGAGCCGTATTGACCCTCATAAATCACAACCGTTATCAGTGATAATGAAAGTGTGGTTTACTTTGATAGTAATCATTTGTAAATCGTAAAAATGTGTAAAAAATGATTTTGAAAACTTGAATTTGAAACTTCCAATCAGTTTTTGTATTTGTGTGTGTATATATATATATATATATACACACACACACACACACACACACACACACATATTCTGGAAAGATATATCTATATCTTTATAAGATCTATATACTTTTGCCATGTTTTTTTTTATTTTTATAACACAAACAAGGAAGCATACAAAATAAAATCAAACTAAGAGTAAATATAATTTATTACGTAAAAGCAGTAGATTTTTAAGGTTAATTCATTACATAATGATGTAATTAATTATGTCATTAAACGATTAGAAGTTGATAAATATATAATGTCAATCAAACTTGTAGCAAAGTTACAACAGTGCCTCTGCACTTCTAAGTCCCCCCCTAAGTATACAAGTAAAGCATGTTTTACAGTCTGGAGGAAATTAAAAGCTTCCCTCACCTGCCCTGCAGGTCGTTCAGATCGAGGCGTCCTCCATAATGTGTGGCTGAAGAGACAGTGACGATGCGCGAGCACTGCCCGCTCTTGCCTGACTTCCTCAACGTGTCCAGCAGCAGGTTGGTTAACAAGAAATGGCCCAGATAATTCAGTCCAAAGTGCAGTTCAAAACCGTCCTCCGTCTTCCTCTCCGGGACTAGCATAACACCCGCTAGAGAGGAGGAAAAGGGCAAAAAGCTGTTATTGTAGCTCAGAGGGGGGTTGAGATACACAATGGTCAATTGTATTATAGGTAGACAGCATGAAAGGGCAAAGGGGCTTTCTATCTTTTGTTTTTTTTTCATGGAGCATTTTTACGTGACCAATTTGAGTCTCAATTGCTAGCAAGTCACTGGAGGATTCGCCAAATCGAAAAGCCGTAATAGGCACTGAAGTGCAGGAGCTGTTAAAGCACTGGTCTGAGGTGTGCAATTTGAGCTCAAGTGACGTGGCAGACTAGATTGCTGGGAGAAATTCTGAGTCAGTCTGGCCCTACGTGGGGAAAAGAGGCTCTTGAATAAAGTGTAGAGGGTTTCAGTGGCTTCGAAAATGTTTGCTGAAAAAACAGACGATACCGAAGAGGGCATCCTGAGAAGAGAGAGGGTAGGGGGTCGGATTTCTCCGGAAGATTGTGTCGGGTGCCCTCTCACGTCATTGGCCCATTTAGCACTTCCACAAGGGCACTTGGGCTGTTAAATTACTACAGCTAAAGGCTAAAGTGGATTTGGCTGAAGAAAGCTCAAAAGTTTTCAATGGCACAACCTCTGTGGAGAGCTTTTCTCTAGAAATGAATAATTCATGGCTTTAACCGTGAATGAGAACTTGAGTGATAAAGATGTTGAGATAGTTCTGCATGATGACAAAATATAATACTGCGATGATATTGCTTTGCACTGTGGCTGTGATATCGCTTGTAATATATTAAAAAAGCCTTGATATAACAAGGTTTATATAGGAAATCTTGCATGCATTATTATCATCAGAATTATTTACCATTGTCAGTGTATTTGAGTTTGAGATGTTACTGTCATCCATTGGCAGCTATTCTATAACAATCTAGTCTGCCATGTCACTTGAGCTCAAATTGCACACCTCAGACCAGTGCTTTAACAGCTCCTGCACCTCAGTGCCTATTACTGCTTTTCGATTTGGTGAATTCTCCAGTATTAACAGCGAGGAAGCAAGATAACTAATCAGCCAGTTTGGCCACTTTCACCTTCTTTAATACAATGCTGAATACAATGAAATAAATCTGTAATGTTGAAAATAAAACAGTGATAAATCTATAATTATGCATTTTCTTTGGGGACTACTTCGCCATACAACAACCAGCATGTATCACTCTGCCAAAATGCATTAAAAAATGCTGTTTTAGGCCAATACCGTTTTGCAAATCTATCATAAAACTGTCTGTGGCATTAGGCAGCGCATTCATAACTATTACATGTAATAACGTACTGTCAGGTAGCACACAAAGGCATTAAACGCTTTAGACGTCTGGTTCCTATCACCACCACTGTGAACAATTCTGACTCAGTAACTTTCTCTAGAATGGGGCACTTCATGCCAACCAATGTTATTATGCATTAGTTTTATAAATCTGTAAACCTTCCCTTGTAATTGTTAATGCCAATTATTTCATCGTCAGCTACCATTTCAGGCCTAACGACACCTACAAAAGATTTGCATGTTGCAGCCAACATTATTGTAAAAGCCAGTATTGTGATATCAACATGCAAACAATGTATTGTGCAGCCCTGTGTTGAGGTCACTGCAGATCACCCTGATCTATTTTTTTTTTTGTCTGACGCACAAGCTATTTGGGCATCATCACCTTTTGCAAGGTTCCATTTTGACAGCAAATCTGGGATAATTTTAGAAGGAGGGGGTATTTCAATATGGCATGGGAATAATCTGTGCTAAATCCCTGCTGAAGATCAAGCACCCCTATTGTCTGTGTGCACTGCCTTATTCCCCATGCAAGAATAAGCCTCTGCGAAAACACATGTTTCATCATAATTGTGCTCTTAACAGAATTACCGCTTGGACTCCCCAGAGTGCGCCGCAATCAGGATTACGGAAACGTTTAGTCCGACGATGTACTTAAAAACAAAATGAAACGTTATGCTTTTTTTAATGATAGGAATAGAACAGATGGGCACAGATAAGACAGCACAGCTGCAGAACCAGCAAATAAATCTAAAATAATAATTTAAAAAACTTCATTAGCGCATCAGCGCAATTCTCGTCAGAGAACCCGCGCATAGTGACGAGGTTGGTCGCGTACCCATAGTGCCTTGGTACCACTTTTCCAGAAGCGCCAAGGGGGTCAAGCAGTGACCTTTCTGCATCATTAGGCCCTCAATGGGGCGGCACAAATGCGTTTGTCCTTCAGCTGTTATCAGCAGGAAGGGATGTGCGCCGTGGAGAACAAATGAGCGAGAGAGGAAGAGACAGAGTGGGAGAGAGAGAGAGAGTCGGGTGGGGGAGGGAGTGTGAATTATTAATTCTCCCCCGTTTGAGACAGAACGGAGTGTGACTGTTCCTGTCATTTGGAGACGCTCCCTGGGGAGGGCTGCTAAATAAGAGCTGTCCAGTTAAAAACAAACGACCCCTAAGGCCCTGAGGACACGCACCAGACGCTTCCAAAAAAAAAATACACACAGGAGTGCTGGGTTTCTGCAGCAAGCGCCAGTGGACAATTCTTAATGGCTAGTTTGAAAAACTTCGGCACAGTTTTTTGAAATCTCCAAATGGCCGTCTGAACAAGAGCTTTAGATTTGGAGCAGAGTGGACTGAGGGTTTCCAGTGGGTAACACTTTTCTTGACAGCCCCCTATATTCTAGCTATTAACTAGGCAAGTGTAAGGTAGAAAAGTGCCATTACTTTTGCACAGGCCATGTTATGTGTTTTTTTTCTCCAACGTGTTAAATTCAACAACAGTAATTGTGCATTAAAATGTGCATAGGTGTGTTCCCTGTAGAGGATGTGTTAACTTATTTGCACTTAGAAAATCAACAAAACGTCATGTGCCCAGGGAACCCAAACTTTTGCATATAACTGTATTAGTCCCTTTTTACAGTCGTAATAAAATGCAATTGGAGGTCCCTCAATATTGTTGATGGAATATGTTTCAATTCGTACAAAAACAGAAGAAAAATGCATTTTCACACACACACACACATAATCTAATCCGCTTATCCTTGTGGGTTGCGGGGGTAGCTGGAGCCTATCCCAGCAGTCATTGGGTGGAAGGCAGGATACACCCTTGACAGCTCACCAGTCCATCGCAGGGCAGACAGACAGACATATACATTCATACACACTCACACCTAAGGGGCAATTTAGCATGTCCAAATGGCCTGACTGCATGTCTTTGGACTGTGGGAGGAAACCGGAGTACCCGGAGGAAACCCACACAGACACGGGGAGAACATGCAAACTCCACACAGAAAAGACCCTGGTCACCCACCCAGGGAATCGAACCCAGGCCCTTCTTGGCAAGCAAGACAATATTTATAAAATGTATTTTTATAATGTTTAAAAGCTCTGTTTCATTGTGGCAGTTCTGTATCAAGCAGCTCAACACACAGTCATAAAAGTTCACACATAGAGAGCCAACAGAGTTCTACCTAATCTGAGAGTTATGAGTGAAATATTTTATTTAATTACTTAAAAATATCAGTTTTATCAGAGTCAATTTAGATCCTGCCTACAGAAAGGCCACTACGGGTCCTGCAGAAAGAGGGTAACTAAGTAAATGTGGGGTACAGTCTCCAAAGAGCTGTGTAATTATTTTAGGTGTAATGAAAATTACCAGCCTAATTCAGTCTAACTAACAGGTTCTAGCTATTAAACTGATGAAGGACATAATAAAATCTCATAATTAATTGGAGTAATAAGGCAGTAAGTACAAACATACTCACTTAATTTCAATGTAATGTCACACGTTTGAGCAGGAAATGGCATAGTTTTCTGAAGTAAATGGCAAAGACCATGTAAAACCACAATAAGAATCACTGCGTTCTTTTACTTTTAAATCTAAATTCACTTGCGGTTCTAGGTAATAAACAGGTAATACTATGTATGACTCTTTGCACTGTGCAGTGTACAATCTTTTTATGTCATATAACTACTCTTTAGGTTTTTCCCATAAATAGTTACTGTGACGTTTGTACCTCACACTTACTCAATTAATACCTAGAACCTGTTGGGCATTTCAGTGTTTTTTTTAGCTAGACTGCCCTGGAACTTACCATCATATTACCTACAATAAAACACTGGAGTTGCATGGCACACTTACCTTGTTAATACCTATAATACCTAGAATTTAAGGGACTGTAAATGAAAGGTGTTAAGGTTCAAAAGCACTCATGTGTTGTTCTTTATGATTTGTGGTTTATAAACAACAAACAATGAAGTAAAAGAAATTTAACTGAGCTACCATAACATAAAACTCATCTTCAAGCTATAGAACTATAGAAGAGAGTAGACCCCACTACTAACCATTTAGCTTCTCAATATGATCAGTTTGAATGGTGGTCAAAACACTACACAAAATAGTAGACCAGGTTAAAGTGACAATTTTGTGCAAAAAACAATGTTCACAATTTTCTTCTTATACCAAATTAGGCTGACATGTTGGGTTTCTGAAGTTCACTTTTTTCATTTTACAGTGAAACTACAAGGTTGATGCAAAAACAATTCATGGAAAAGTATAACTGCTGGGTTAGCATCATGTACACTAACATTCAAAAGTCTGGAATCACTATTTTCAATCATACAAACAAAGGTTCATGTAAACAATGATGCTAATGTACTATAGGCCAGAAGTCTTCAAATCCAGACCTTGAATCCAGTTTTTTGTCCTGGTTTCAGGTCCTTTGCATTTACTGGTAGGTAATTTAAGGGTAATGCAACTGATTGGCCACATTGACATGTTTGAAGACATCTGCTATAGGCTAATATGATATTACTATATGATGCTATTATAAGTTTCAACTAATTAGTAGGGAGATATAAATATGAAGAAATATTTGATGTATCCAGAAAGATGAAAAGAGCTGTAGATGATTCCATAATAACTGAGAAGGCTTGAAATGTCTTCTGGTTTCAAGCATACAGTATTTCAATCTCCACCGTAACTGCAACTATTAATATGACATGTGATTCCAAACCTTTGACCATGTAAACTACATCCCAAAGTCATCACACATTTGCCTCAAACTGAGTTGAGTTATCAAGTAATCTCAAAAAGGCTCATGTAGTTTCCCACATGGTATGATGTACTTTTATCTGTGAAAATTAAAAAAAAAGGGTACAGCAGTCGTCCTAAAGCCTGAGATCAGTTCTTCTGTCCAAATAAGTCTGAGATGATTTAACAACTTGATGCAGTTTGAGGCAAATGTCTGATGATTCATGCAATTTTCAAGGTGCTAATGTGTTATCTACATTAGCCTCATAGCTCCAGGGCAAAACTAAAGAAGCAAACTTCAGACACCAAACATGTCTTGGCTGATCAACAGCATTTGAGGTGAGGGTGAAAAACTGTTTCTCAACCATAATTAGCATGAACTAGCAATGAAACAAAAGGCAGCTGTCACTCTTGGTCAAAACACCTGATTGCCTGATGCCAGTGATGAGCATAAAAGTACATATCAGAGCTACCTACCATTATTGATGAGAACGTGCAGAGGCAGACCCTTGGATTTAAACCTCTGGACAAACTGTCGCACAGACTTCAAGGAGGCCAAGTCCAGGTACATGAACTCCACTGCAAACAAAAGATCATTACTAATGCAGCCACACGAAAACATCGATCACCTAAATCAATACAGCGCCATTTATTATACATGCTCACAGAAAACTCCAACAGAATGGCTTATGGCCATGACTTCACAACCTACAAGGCCAGATCAGATGTATGTCTCCTGCCAGCAGCCTTGACATAAGACATAAGTCAATTGATGTACAGTACTGTGCAAAAGTCAGGGACCACCCTTACATTTATTTAAGTGCCAGTCAAAGTGGTCGTTATGTACAGCATCAGGTCGTTGTTTCAGCATCATGTGTGTATATATATATATACTATATATATATATATATATATATATATATATATACACACACACACAGACTTTCTTTCAGTTTTGATCTTTGTTAGGTACATTAACCATGCATTTATGCTGAGGGTCATTTTTCTGTGTAAGGGAATACATAATAAATGCATCAGGTACAACACACTGACCTCCATATTTCACTTTTATTTCACTTCTATTTATTTCATTTTTATTATTTATTTATATAGAGCCCTTTTTGTAAAACCTGTAACTCTGCACATTATCATTTGAAAGCTATCACACTATGTACATGTCCTTCTTATCAGAGCAGATCACCCACTAACCCTTCTCTGCCTAGTCTGTACATTAAAGTATGCATCCAATTAAATCACCTATCAAAGCATAATAATTGCTGACAAATTACTGTCACTGCCAAAGCTTATGTAGGGTCAAAAGGTCAGGTTTTCAAACGCTGTCTTATCACAGAGAAAAACATCCAAACAGAGCTGCTTTAAAAATGCTGGAGCTGCTTCTTTTGACATAACTGCGTCCTCAGCTTCATGAATGTAGTTTAACCCTTTAAGGTTCGATAGAAAAAAATGGCTATTTCTGCTGCTGTTTCTACAAGTGACACTTTATTTGCAGACAGACTCAGGTTCACCAGTACAATTACCTCTGACATACATGTTACAAACTGACATGACAGAATAAAGGATGAAAAAAGAGGTAGTTCAGGACCATTCATCAAGATAAGATTTTAACAGCTGCCATATTTGCCAAAAAATTAACATTTTCCAACTTAAGTTGTACATCAGTTGCTGTAATAGAAGCACTGTTGCAACCTGGGACACCCAAAAACTAAAAGATGGAACTTGGGGTTGAACGCAGGGCAAGTACCTCCTACATGTGAAGCAAAGATCCGAACAATCTAAAAAGATCTTCAGGAGGTGAACAGGCATAAGTCCTACTAATTATCTTGAAGCTACTTTCGTGAGGAGATGTCAAGCATAATCTTGGATGTAGGCCTTCCCAAAGAATTTTCCAATCATCATCACATATATTCATTCCCAGATCTTGTTCCCACATCTGCTCTTCTTTTTAAGTAACATGATTTCTCAGTGCGGTTGGTGACGTTGTTGTATTTATTTATGTTTCTACCAATGTTTTTATGTTTCTACCAAAGCCAGAAACATGTAGAACTTGGTAGATACCATCAACACTAGGAGGGTGAAGGCTAACACAGGCTTTCGCCGAGACCTGTGAAACCAGCCACCGCTTCTTTTCGAATTGCCGCTCACGCAACGTCATTGGACAGCCGAACGCGCTCGGAGAAAAGCGCCAACTGCCAGATCTGTTACGTCAGCTAACAGACGCCTGCGCTGACTAGCATCGCGTTAAGTGATTGGGGGAAAGGAGGGGCCATCCTACCTACCCAGAGAGAGCGAGGCCAATTGTGCTCTCTTGGACTCCCGGCTACGGATGGCTGTAGCATCACCAGGGATCGAACTCGTGATCTCCTGATTATAGGGCCAACGCTTAGACGGTTGCGCCACTTGGGAGCCCCACAAACTGCCTTTTTGAAATAGAAAACACATGCATATGCATATATGTCACTTTTTATCATTGCTCTGATCAAATAAAACAGTAATAAGCCTTTACTGACCTGAACTGCCCTCTTAATGAGTTTGCACACTCACTCAGAAACTATCACAGTGCATCCAAAAGTGAAGTGCATCTTTAATACAGTGATATACACGGTAGCTAACAGAAAGCTCAGATTCCACATGCCGATACATTGTTACTATGGTCGACTTAAACGTGCACATGCTGTAACTCCTCTGACGGCAGGTTTAAAAGAGTTTAAGCAGCCATCACCAAATTTTCAGAATAGATCGCCAGGAAGGAGCTCAGGCTTCAAATATTTGTGGGTATTTCCAGACAAGTATTCAAACACTTGTTCTCAAAATCATCCTTAATAACAGTAATATTGGTTTCATAATTAACAATGATTTTTAATATGTACATTACTGATGTTCAAAATATATTCTGTAGGCGGCAACAGTGTAATAACAGTCAGGCTGAAGCCCAGCTGCAAGTGTGCTTTATATTGCTGTCTCATTCAAACACAGCTATGACTTGTATGCCATTGTTGAGTCGGGTTATCTAACATGACTCATAAGCAAACAATAATTCCATATATTTTCACTGTACTTAGAAAAGAGCAGATAACAAAGACACTACTCACTGCCTTCTCTTGCAAATATAGCAATATATGAGCTGGTGGATGTTTAAAAAGTACAAGAAAACATAGTTAAATTATTGTCCATGGTAACTGACCACACTCTACAGATACAGCAAATGGAGATTAGGTCAAAACATGCTGGTGTATTCGTTCAAAGAGCCAGCTATTGAAAGGTGTTTTAAGGAACCAAAGCTGGTTCTTCTATGACATCACTCCAAAACACAGTTTTGGCACCTTTAATTTAAGAGTGTGTTACCCGTCTGCAATGTTCTGCGTTCTAACATGTTCTGTTGTGAAAAGCAAAGAGGAAAAGGAAAAAGGAAATCACCCTTATTATCTGCTGCTTAAAACTCACCTGTCAAAGAAGTTCTTGGCACTGATCTATCATTCATAAAGCTTTGAAGCTCGTTAGATCTGGATCAAACTCAGGCTATTTCTAAAACGGGCCCTAAAAGCTAATTTATATAATCTGATGACTTCCTTGCATCTCTGTCTGCGAAGGTCAGGGACTCCAGAGCAGAAAGAAAAGCTGGAGTTTATCTAACTCACTGCTCTTCCACTTGTCCCCCATATCTAATTAGTTGTATCATTCATTTCATCAGGCTGGTGTAACCTTTGAGCTAATGACGGCTCGCAGATGAGAGTTATTACACAATTACCGGAGTGGTCATGCCATGATTATAGAGGACAAACGTTCTTTGTGGAGGATCATTTTATAAGAGACAAGTGATGCCATGAATGTCTTTATGATGGGCAATACATCCAGCTGGTGTCACAAGGAAGACCCAGAGAATATCACAGTTATTGATATATCCTACATTTTTCTTGCTTTTATTTCGTTCCCCTGAGGTTCACTCATAACATTGGTGCCAATTTATTTTACATGACTATTTTCCAACCTCTCTTTATCCCTTAGAACAGAACAGGCTCTTGTTGTTACCATGTTTTTAAGACTAAATGAGCTCTGTTCTGATTGGATGTTCTGTATTTTGTCTTATTTAAAAAGCAGTACAGGGTGAAACACTCCTTATAACTTCAGTGTGAACAGGTCAAGCTAAACTGCCGTAGGCTGACTAGATGGAAACATGCACAGTTAGAGGCAAAAGTTTGAGCGCCCCAGGTGAAATTACGCTTTGTTGATTTCCTAAGTAAAAATAAGTCAACATATTCTGTGCAGAGAAAATACTTCTGTATATTTTAACAAACAATTCCTGTTTATTTCCTGATTTGAACATATTGGAAAAAATAGCAGAAGATAAAAAGTGACATAAAAAGTTATGGCACATTTTATATTTTGTGTTTTATTTCTTTCCAATACGTAAAACACAACAGAAATAGATATTTGTATTGTTGAATTTAAGTTTGTTCCCTGTAGAGGATGTGCTCATTTATTTTTACTTAGAAAATCACAAATTGAATAAGAGTGTAAATACAATGTTTTTTTCACAATCAATTCACATCAGCCTGTACTTGTCACTGGGGAGTGAATGGTACGATTCAACACTTTCAATGTTTACCTACCACACCAATCTTTTTTTCACAACCAATCGTGGTTGAAGAAAATACATGTTTCCCATGATTTTGCCCCTTTCAAGCTTTTAAACACTGAGCGAGATTTATCTGTGAAATTTTGGATTTAAGTTTAAGTGCTTCCAAACACATGTATAACTGATGATGACTTGCACACCAAATGGGATTTTTTGGAAGGTGAAAATGCGACATTATTTAATTTGGCCTCATGGCAAACCATGGCTGGCAACATCAACTCACTCAGCCATCATGGCTGTTTCTGCCACTGGCACAGAGACAATCATAATGAACAATTCATTATATCCAAGCAATGCTTTTTGACAAATATCAAAGGATTATTTTGTTGTCTGATCTCCAAAGGCAGCTCAAACTGGACTAAGAACATCAGAGCTACAGTCGTATGCAAAGGTTTGGACACCCCTGGTCAAATGACATGTTTTGTTAATTTCCTAAGTGAATATAAGTCAATACATCCTCTACAGAGAACACACTACTGCACATTTGAATGAACAATTACAGTTAATTTCCTGATTTGAACATATTACAAAAAATAACAGAACATAAAATGTGGCCTCTGCAGAAGTTTTTTTGGTAAACTATTAAAACCATTAAAAAATAAACTTTGCACTAAAATGCCCTATTTAAGTTTTTTCTCTGCAGAGGACGTGTTAATTTATTTTTTAATCGCAACATGTAATCTGACCAGGATGCCCAAACATTTGCATATGACTGTATTATAGTTCCATAAGAAATCAAGTCCTCCAATAACCTGCACATGCGACAAGACGTTGTATAGAACCCTCATCTATTCGCACAGTACAACTTGTCCTGTCACTCATTTCGAGCGAGAGCTCTGAGGGTGTATAAACAGTTGTTTGAGACGGCAGTTTTATCAAACCAAAATCCGCCCTCCAGCCCTTCCACTCATATGCACATCATCGC